TCCTCCTCCTCCTCCTCCTCCTCCTCCTCCTCCTCCTCCTCCTCCTCCTCCTCCTCCCCCTCCTCCTCCTCCTCTGCTCCCCATCCCCCTCCCCTCCCCAGCGAGGAGGGATAATGAGACAAGGGTGGGGGGTAGGAGGCCTGAAACGGAAGCGGAAGCGGAAACAGTGGGGAGAATTGCAGAAAGGACAGCCGGGGCATGAGCATGAAGAGCGGGACGGGGAGGGAGAATACGCAGGAGGAGCAGGAGCAGGAACGAAAAGCGTGTGAAATCAAAAAGGTGTAGGACCATTATTGCATTTCTTCTTGGGATCATGTTGGATCTCAGGTTACCCCAGAGGGCACCAAGACGACCCATAACGAGGTTCCCAAAGCACCCGCAACAAAGCTAATGCTGTTGCGAGTCCTCTGGTGGCCTCCTTGAGGTCCCCTTGAAGACAGATTGGGGTCCTCGCGGGGCCTTCTCAAGGATCTGGCTGGGGCCCAATACTACGACGAGTTATGATTCCGAGATGGCCCCAAGAAGCCCCCAAGAGCACCAGCAACAGATTTGATGAGTTTGCGGATGCCCAAGCGCATCCTTGAATTCATCTAGTGAACTCTCTGGAAGCCTCCGCGGAGTTCCCTTTAGTTGGGCTCGTGGAGAGCTCTGGTGGAGACCCAAGAGGGCTCCAAAACCAGCTCAAGAAAGCTTCCAGAGCACTCGCACCATAATTGAATGTGTTGCGGATATTCTGGGGTGGGGTTCTTGGAATCCTCATGGAGTTTCCCTCGAGCCCTCGCGGTGTTCTCTTAACGCCCTGGGGGAATCACGGGAGGAGCCCCAGAGGGCTCAAACAGAGCTCAAAACTGCCACAAGAACCTACCCAGAGCACCCGCAACAAAATCAATTATGTTGCGGGTGCCCTGGGGACCTCTTGGAAACCATTTTGGATGTTTTCTGGAGCCTTCGCAGATCACATGCAAGACTCCAAGGTACCCTCAGGAGGGGGACCCAAGAAAGCCCGAGAGTGCTCCAAGACGACCCCAAGGAGGCCCCCCGAACACCTGCAACGAATTTGATTTTGTCGCGGATGCCCTGGGTGGCCCCCCTGGGATAATTTTAAAGGTCAGCCCAGGGTCCCCTGGAGGTCCCAGGAGGTCCCAGGACGTCCCAACAGGCCTTAGGGGATCTCAAGAAGCCCAAGCCGGCTTCATGAGGACCGAGGAGGTCTCAGGGGGTCCCAGGCGGCTCCAGGAGGTTCCAAGATCTTCCAAAATTGAAGAGAAATAAAAAACTTTCACAAACTCAGCAGGCTCCGGAAATTCAAGAAAATCAGGAACCCCGAAAACTCCAAACCACCAGAATTTTGAAAATTCCGATGTTTTTCGAAAAAAATGCGAAAATTCCAAACTCTTTGAAAATTTCAAAAACTTTGACAATTTCGAAACTTTCAAAATTCCCAGGGGTCGGGAAATCCGGGATTGCAGGCGACCAGGATTCCCGAAAACTCCAAACCACCAGAATCTTGAAAATCTAGATTTTTCGAAAATTTCGAACATTCCAAACATTTTGAAAATTTCGAAAATTCCGAAAATTCCGAAATTCGAAAATTTCGAAATTTTCAAAATTCTCCGGGGCCAGGGAATCCGAAACCCAAGCAACTAATAATTCCGAAAACAGCACAAGGAATCCCGACAGCCCTGAGATCTCCTCGAGAGGCGTCCGCGATTCCACTGACTCCCCAGGTCCAGGAAGAGGAAGGTGATGGAATGAGGAGGGATTCGAGTGCGATGGGCGAGGAAGATGAGAAGGAGGAGGAGGAGGAGGAGGAAGAGGAGGAGGAAGAGAAGGAGGGAGGAGTGTCGTTCAAGCCGCCCAGATGGTATCTCTTCAGCTCGCCGCTGACGGGGCCACGATGAGGAGATACCATCTTGGAGCTCCTGGAGCCCCTGCGATTGCGGATGAGGAGAAGGACGACGATGACGACAACGACGACAAGGATGAGGAGGAGGAGGCAGAAAGAGAGAGTAGGGAAGGGAGGAGGGGTATGAGGTTGGATACCGCTATCCCCTCCTGGTCGCGCGTACCCCTCCCTCCCTCCCTCCCTCTCTTTTTCTCCCTCTCCCTCTCTCCCTCTCTCCCTCTCCTCCCCTCCCTCCCTCCCTCCATCCCCTCCTCCCTCCCTTCCCCTCCCCCTGGCAGCACCTGTCCCCGCGAGACCGGGACGACAGGGCACGGAGACCCAGTCGGCACTGGCTGCTGCGAGACCAGGACGACGAGCACACGAAGACCCACACGGCACGAGCTGCCGAATATCGGCCGGCCGCCCTCCGGCGCCGAGCCTCGCCGTCCTTGGTCTCCACGTCGGCGGTGCCCTCGAGCAGCACCTGGCTGCCCACGCGCGGGTGCCCTGGGGCCAAGATTGCCCCGGGGGCTTTTTTTTGGACTCAACGCCCTCACTGCCTGAAGTGCGACGAGCTGTGAGGCAGGTGAAACAGCTCGCTTCAGCAGGGCGACCTGCTGTGCACATCTCAACCCGATTTAGGCAGAGAAAGACAAGGCACCTGCAGGCGATCCTGCAGGAGTAAAGGAGGCACGGCCCACCCACTCAACACTGTGCACATGAGCGGGCGGCTGTAGCAGCCAGTGTGCTGCCTTCGCCTCGAAGTGTTGGGGCCAGGACTTCGGAGCAGCCTAGCCACAGAATCGAGGCAGGATCGGACCGAGACTGATCGGAAATCTCTGAGACTCAGCGGGCGGAGAATGTATCGGGCGCCGCGGCCTTCTCAGAGCGTTTGGAATTGGTTTAGCCTCGTCCTAGCCCCGTCCGATCGTGGTGCGCATTGGAGGCATATGGAACCCATGTTCAGCCATCTTGGGCTACATGGAGCCAGGGGAGGTTTGATTATCGGGTCCACGAAAACAATTTTGTTCTGGGCGCGCACAGAAGATTCTCCACTTAATCTTTCGTGCGCACATGAATAAACAGTTCTCGTGGATCTGAAAGTGGAAACGCCCAAAAAATGCCCCCCCAAAAAAGAAGAGGAAAAAACGCCACGAGCAAAAAATTGTGACGCTCCGCGCAGATTTCTTGGATCTGCGCTGGACCCCCCCTTCCTGGCGCGCGGAGCGCGCCGGGGCCGGGGGCGGCGCCGGAGGCGCCGCCTGGGGGGGTCCAGCGCGGATCCCGAGAGGCCTCCAACAGGCCCCCACTGGTGCTGCCAAGGGACACGACTGGAGACGCCCCCCGCCCTCTCCCATGGGCAGGGCTGCAGCGGAACGGCGGCAGTCGGCCAGGGCTCTGCCCGTCCACGACCTGCCCCCCCCCCCCCCCGACTTAGGTCGGGCATGTCCTCCTACAGGCGGATTTTGGGAGAAAAACGAAAGATGCAGCAGCGTTACAAAAGTTTCGTCATGAATTGGAATTTCATCATCTTGCGTTGGCAAGGCAAGATCCCGCCCGGTGGGATCCCGTTTGCACATACTATTGAATAACTGGAAGAAAAGACGGATTCAGAAAGCCCGAATCTGTGATCCGACCGCTCTTGACCCAGCCCGTTCGGATTTTGGTGGGCAAAGGGGGGCAGCTTGGCGCGGTCGGGACCGGGATCAGCCTTCGCCCGCCCGCTCGCGCGGCATTAACGGACGAAACCTGAATCATCTTGACGACCCGAGCTATGGCGAAAGCCACACTTTGAAAACCACCCGCCCTCAATCCGTGAAACTCTTGCACATGTTTAAAGCAAATGTGCGCCGCGCTGAAGCGAGAGATACATTTTGAATACCACCCGTCCTCAATCCGAAAATCTCCTGCAACTTATATGTATGTATATATGTGTATATATATATATATTGATATAAATGCGCGCCGCGCTAAAGCGAGAGCCACATTTTGAAAACCACCCGTCCTCAGTCCGTGAAGCTCTTCAAAATCTTTAAAACGAGTGTGCGCCGCGCAAAGGCGACAACCACATTTTGAAAACCATCCGCCCTCCATCTGCGAAACTGTCAAATTTAAAAGCATCAGAAGCACAGATGGCGAGGAAGGCCTCAGGGTGCAACAGGGAAAAGTTATTTATGAGGAAGTGGAATGGAGGAGGAAGAGGAGGAGGAGGAAGAGGAGGAGGAGGAGGAGGATTTTGACATCAACCGTGCCCAACAGACGACGCGTGCACCGTCGCCACCTGCTCACTGGCCTGGGTGAAGGCAGGCCAGCGAACAGTAGGAAAAGAGGCAATGGGAGGGCGGGCGCGACAGCCACAGGGCGATTTCCCGCAACGGGGAGGATCCCCTGTGGCTAACCGCCCGCCCCCCAAAGGCCAAGACCTTTGGAGAAGTGAGGTCGAGGACGAGACGCTACACAGGACGGGGGCCTGCGGAGCATCTCTTAGTCCGCATCATCAGACTGCGCAAAAAATGGGGCGACGAGGGGAGCCCCTCCCTCTTCGAGGGCAGGGTCGGTCGCCCCAGACGCGCGCCAACTCCGCAGTCGACGACTGGGGCACAAACGACGGCAGCGACCTCCGAGGTGAATTTGGTCTAGGGGCTGCCAACTAAAAACCGAGCAGCTTCTTCCTCCGCCTTTAGCGGGTCGATAGCCACTGCCACAGGCAATGACGCAGGCTTTGTGCTCGACGACGGCGGCCTCACGACGGCCCGATCTTCCTGCTTCTGCGATGCCTGTGCCGAGGGAGGCTCAACCTCCATTCGGACGGGAACTGGTGGGCCTGGCGCTCCCCCAGCGGCGACAATGAGCCCACGTACAAGACAGGCAGTGCGCAGCTCTTTTTCACTGTCAGTGAAGCGCCGCGGCAGCTCCTCTTTGTCCTGGTCACGATACCAGGGGCCGACCTCAACGGAAACGCCTCGCCGCTTGGGGTGCTTGCCAGTGCCCACGGATATCCATGCTGACTTGGCCCCATCACACTGGGGTTAGCCATCGTACTTCTCACGTAAATCGCGAGGCAACCCATGGGAGGAATAGGCATAGCATCGCATACAAGTGGTGAGCACAGCCCCGTCCGAGCAAGGAAACGCAAGACAATTGTGCTGGAGGACGCGAAGTGCCGCGGCCCCGAGCTTGGCACCTCCGAGACACTTGCCAGGGGGCGGCGGGTCTAGGCACCCGAGCTTCCTTTCGCCACTAGGACTAAAACGCTGCACTCCCTTGGCTTCGTTGAGACACTCGGAGCACTGCCAAACATCGGAAACCCGAACCCACAGATGAGGCAGGGGATCCACCTTGGGATTCGGGCGCTTCGGAACCAATGGTACGCCATTGAGGTCGAGCCTAGGCCACATCGGCATGAGCTCGGCAGAGAGGCGCATGGCACACTTAGCAATAGACAGGCACCGATCATGCCATAAGATATCGCACGGGTCGGATTGCGGGTGCCTGACGAGTGAATGTTTGGCAACGCTGTCAGCCGGGTCATTACCCAACTTCCAGAACTGTTCCAACTCAGAAAGGTCTCTGGAGCATTCAACACGGACCTTAACCTTGAAAACTCCCTCAACCAACTTCCGACGGGCGGGGAGCAAAAAAAAAAAAAACGAGTAAACTCGCTTATACGGCAGGGCCAGCATCAGAGGTTCATTCGCTTGAACCACGACGTTTTTTACAATCAGAATAAATGGAGCCCCCATGCAAAGCGAGCATCGCCGTAACAGCGTAGGCCCCCAACTCTCCACCTTGGGCAGTTTGGGGGGTGGGGGGGCCACAAGGGACCGCTGATCGGCAAACCTCGTTACCATCATCCCCTACGACCACGATTCCCCACCCAGCCCTGGAGAGCCCTTGAATGGCATGGGTGGCGCACGACCCACCAACGAAAATGCGACCAGAGATAGCGAGGGATTTGCAGGCGCGGTCGTGGGCCCACATAGCCCCCAGGCCAGTTTCCTCAACATCATCCCGAGCAGGCAAGGGGAACACGCCTCCAGGACGCAGAAAAAGACCTCTGGTGTACAGCAAGAAATCCTCCTCATCCTTCTCACGGGTCAGGTCGGGCGGGGGCATGAGGGTAGGCCTCTCCTTGAAACTGTCACACACTTCCTGTCTCTTGTCATAGCACGCGGAGCAGAACCAGAGCCGATGAGGCATGGTATCAGCAGCAACACCACAAAGATCACACGTCGTGTCAACCCCATACCCAGCTTCGGCGGCTCTCATCCTGGTCAAAGTGGCATGGTGAGCAACTGCGTTGGCACACCCTCGCTGCAAAGGCGTGCCCTTCTTGGACCGCAGAGCGGCTGCCACTACAACGCGACCAACTCGAGCACCAAGCGAGTGAGGAAGCAAGGCAGCACCACTGGCTCGCTCATGAGCCCTCTGCACCGCGGCCTTCAAAAGCCCCTTCAGAAGGACAGGGGAAGCGACAGTGAGCGAAACTTCAGTCCCGAAATCACCCAGGAAGGTGCAATAGTTAGGCATGCTCCAAGAAGCCCGATCCAGGGCAAGCTTGATGGCCCCCAGAGGCCCGTTCACCCCCCGCCAGGCCTTGGGGCCCGAGGTACCAAACACACAGGCCCAGGCAGCCCGCAACTCAGCCCATGGAGTGACAAACGGGAAAAGTCGCGTTTGGTTGGCCCATATGTCCTTGGCGTAGCGCACGATGGGCGCCACGGCGGGGTGCCAGGTCGGGCCTTGCGAGAGAATGAGCACCGAGATCCGTGACCTCATCTTGGCAGAGGGCTGCATAGCGCTGGCGGTTGCAACCTGCAGCCGTTCCCATCCAAAGCTGGAGAGGCCGTGGGCTTCGGCTCCAAAGGTTGAGCTAGGCACGGGACCAGCGGTAGGAACTTCGACAGCATGCCCGCCAAGCGGCCGCTTGCCTCCCCCCCCCCCCCCCATGGGCCTCCTGAGCTGTTTGTTAAGCCTTGGCTTACGGTCGGAAGCCGCCGTTCCTCTCTTAGGGGCCCGTCGGGAGCAACCGCGGAGAAGGCAGGGGAAGAAAAAAAAAAAAAAAAAAAAAAAAAAAAAAAAAAAAAAAAAAAAAAAAAAAAAAAAAAAAAAAAAAAAAAAAAAAAAAAAAAAAAAAAAAAACTGAGCCAACGGTCGATTGCACGACAGGGCCCGCAAGCCCTCCAAGACAGTCTCTGACCTGCGTCGCGAGCGCATCCGACGAGGCAACGAGGGAAGCTTTGTCAACCGAAATAGCCGCACCCACGCCGTTCTCGATGGCCTCTCGCTGCGGCCTCAGGGAGGCGCTCAACTATGTAGGCGATCGTGCCAATGCAGCTGAGGCCGTAGTCGTCTGTGTAGACGTCAAGGGTGACACCTGGAGGCAACTTCAGCGCGTCTGGCGCAGAGATGGCATTGATGCGCACCATCGTGGTTGCAAATCCACAGCCCGCAACGACACCTCGGTCAACGTAAAAAAAGGCCGACCACCAGGCCTGACAGCGAAACGCACCTGCCATGCCGATATCCACGCACAGCAAGCCCCGCAAGCTGCACGGGAAACTCGTACTGGTGGCTGCGCTGGAGGAGCGTGGACAGTTGAACAAGCTCGAAGCATTTGTAGAGATCCCATAACAGGGTGCAACTGGATTGTTTGTCGGCCACCGCCCCTGCAGCTCGCAACGTTTGCCCCCAGACGACATCGACGGCAGAGGTGCACTGGGGGCCAGCGAAATAGCTTCTCTGAAAACCACATTCCCACTGGGTCGCATACTTCCGGCGGCACCGCCCCCAGAGGCGGCGGGAGCTACAGAAAAGGCCAATGGGCCGAAAGCCCCCCGAGGGCTCTTGCAGCAGGGAAAGAACCACCAAAGAAACCTTGCCAGGAAAGAGCCCCGAGGCCTCCACGATGGAAAATGATACCCAGGACCCCAAGGGCACCGTCAGAAAGAGAAGCAACAAGTTCCATGTGAAACCCGTCAACCGCAGTGGCAGATCGCGAGGAATACCGCCTAGACGCAGACCTGAGCTCATCAGCCGCGCGCCGTGGGAGGGGCTCAATAAACTGAAACACGGGGTCGGGGCGGGGCGGGCGCGGGGGGGGGGGGGGAAGGGGGGGGGGGAGTGGGGGGGGAAAGGGGGGGGGGGGCGCGGGCGGCCCCCCATAACTTGCTAAACTTGCTGGCCTCGGCACCGAGCAGGGCGCGGGGGTCGGAGATCACAGCCCCCTTCTCGGCTCAACGTGGTGATCGGGGTCCACGGCTGGCTGCCTCGAACGTGCCGATGCGCTCTCCTGGCGCCCTGATCGATAGACTCCAGGAGCCACGCCTTCCACTCAGACAGAGCCTGCGACTTGGCCTTGACGGCATAAGTGGCAAGGTACTCTTCTAAGTCCGACAGCATGGCTTCTCCAATCTTCAAGTCGAGCAAGTCGCGCTGACCTAAAAACTCTTGCGCTCGCATGACTTGGCCAGCGTGGACATTCAGCCATTGCTTCAGAAAGGCAGGCGGCCCCAGCAGGAGAGAACGAGATTCCTGGGCCTGGGCGGATCCTAAAGCGACCGCGACAAGCTGGAGGAGGAGCCTGAACTTGTTAACTAACCATCTGATGGAAACAACTGGGGCTGCCAATGGGGGGGGGCCTGTCGATCTTGCTCTAAGATATTAAACCACCTCTGCTGAGGCATATTCCCCCTACTCCCCCAACAAGGAAAAGTAGTTTGTCTGGCCCCCGCAAGCTCCTTCTCAGCGGTGTCAGCCCAGTGTTTATAGAGGGCGTCGAGCTTGCACTGTACAACATGCGCACCGCCACTCTGGCAAGCATCTAGAGCACGATCAGTTTCACTCTGGGCTGCTGTCCAGGATGGGGGCGGCGGGCTGGGGCTGATGGGCGGCTCTGTCGGCAGGGGCGGTGGCTTCCGAACAACAAGCCCATGCAGCTCTCCGACATCAGCGTGAAACTGCATCTGCACTGGAAGGTGCGTGACGATGTTAGATGTGTGCACAGCTTCGACATGTGATACACCTTTGGCAAGCCCAGAGGTGACAATGCAAAAATCGAACATAATCGTGCCACACGTGCCGACCACATCGCTCGGGATAACCAACTGCGCGCATAACCTATTGACGATGCCAGAGGAGGCGAGCACGTCAGGGCTCATGTTGAAACCAGCCCCGATGATGGAGGGGAAGGCCACCTGCTCGACGCCTGTGCCGATGCGCGCCAAGAGTTCTACGCTGGCCTCCGAAAGCCCCTCGACAGTACGCAAGCAGGCACGACAAACGAAAATAGTGCCCCCTCCTGGAACATGGGTCATGGCGCCGATCGACCAATGCTGATCGATGATGCGCCCTCCAGGGGGCGCATGGCACCCGAGAGAGCTCTTGACCATGATGTCGACTCCCGAAGACGTATCATGACCTATCCCTGGAGCTGCTGGCCCAAGAACTGTCTTCCACCCGCGCCGAGTCGCCCAGCCGATGGCATCCGCGAGCTCAAGCTCCATCAGATGGTGTTCTTGGATGGGAAGAACCTTCGCTCCGCAATTCGGCAGCCAAGCTTTGAGTCCACCTCCCGAGTCCGAGCGCCACGAAGGAAAATTGGCAGTCTGCAGCACGAACTCCACATTAAAATATCCAGGGCTGGGCTCAAGGGAGTGAATCGAAAGGGAATATATATATATATATGTATACATATATACACTGAAAAAGAAGGGGGAAAAAAAAAAAAAAAAAAAAAAAAAAAAAAAAAAAAAAAAAAAAAAAAAAAAAAAAAAAAAAAAAAAAAAAAAAAAAAAAAAAAAAAAAAAAAAAAAACGCCTGGGCACGCGCGATACCTTGCCCTTGCCCTGGCACAGCCTGTCTGCAGGCCGCTGGGCCCTCGGACCCAAAAAACGTAACCTGGCGGGCCCTGGAGCTGGATGGAAGCAAGAAACCCTGAGCGCGCTTCCCACAGGACCACTTATCCGGGCGTGGTCCTCTTGGGGGGTCCGAGGTGGCCAACGCAGAGTTAACGAGAGTGCGCTCAACAGCTTGTGCCAAAAACTGAACGAGGTAGGAGTCTGCCTCCGCCCAGCCAAGGGGGTGTCCAACTCCGTCGACAGGAAATGACTACGACACACAAAGGGAAGGCATTCTGATACCATAGATTCCGAGAACATCACGGGCAAAAGGTTGGGCCTGCCTCACCTGGCCCCCATGGGCTCATATACGTTCCAAGGAGGCCTAGGGGGCAAGGCTGGCCGACTTGGGGCTTGGGAAAACACGAACTTACGAGGGCGCTCATCTGCTGAGCGCTGGGACTGGCAGGCGCATGCTGAGACGGATATGCGGCCAGGCCACGCTGCGCCCCCCCCCCCCCCCCCGCCCCACCAGGGGCGGGGGGAGGAGGGCGAAGGGCCTTCTCTGCCTTGGCTCGCACATCTTCGGATGCAGGCGGGGCTCCACCCCCACCTGTCCGCTGCGGCTCAGCAGGCGCGGGCGGGGGCTCAGCCGTTGCGCCCGAGGGCTCGCCAGCCCCCTGTCCTTCAGCACGAGCTCCTTCAGCTGGTGCCGGATCTTGAACAAGCACTGGTTTTTCTTCTCCTCCTGCAGCAGCCCCTCGATCCGCGCGCCGCCGCTTGGCCGCGATCCGAGTGAGATGTCCCCGATGGGCATCGCGAGCCGCCTTAACGGCAGCCACCAGTGGGCCCAGCAGGTCCGCGGCGAGCTTGGATACGCCAGCGTTGGGGTCGCCCTTCCGCTCGGCGATCCCCTCGCGGCCCTCGGGGTCGAGCTGGTCGTCGCCCTCGAAAAAGCTAACTTCATCGATGGTGAGGACCGCACCCAGGTCGAAGGACTCGCCGCGAAAGTCTTCAAGCTTGAGCCCGGCAGGGCCAGTTGGAGCACCAGGCGGCTGCCCCACCGATGCCTGCTGCTGCAGCTCAGTGACCAACGACTTGTAGAGAGCATCCGCCTCCTCCAACTCGGCCCGCATGCTCCGCACGGTGCCCTCACGGACCAAGAGGTCGCTTCGCCAGCCCACGAGCTTGTCGGCTTCTTTGCCCAGAACCTTCTCCAACCGACTGACGATCGCATACTGCTGCTGCACTCGCGGGTGAAGGGGCGCGGGCCGCTTGGGCGCCCCCAGGGCCAACAGCCGCTTGTGTTCGGCCTCGTACTTGCCAGCCGTGGCCAGGTCGCCACCCTGTCGAGCCAATTCGGCGAGCTGCTTGGCCTCGGTCGAGCTGAGCTGGCTCTGGGCACCGACTGGTAGTGGAGCAGCTTCGGGCGCCCCTCCAGCATGGGCGCCACCACCATGTGGTCCTCCAGCTAGTTGGCTAACGGGATTGGCGGGCATGCTGCGGGGCGGCGGAGCCCGCGTCGACCAGAGCGCTCGTTGCCCGAAAACCCCCGGCAGTGGATGGGCCCAAGCGCCACTCTGAGGTAAACTGACACCAGCAGGACGAACAAGCGCAAGCGATGCGCCGCAGCGCTTGCAGAAACGGGCCGACTGCTGGTTCTTCGCGCAACCGCGGCAGCTGCACTTGACCTTCGAAATGCGGCCCCCGCCTGAACCAACAGCATCACGCCACCAGTCTGCATATGCATGAGCGCCGTCACGGTGCCAGGGGGGCGAAGCTGCGCCACGATCCCCTCGACCGCACCATTGGCAACGCCCTTGCCCCTTGCCGCCGCCATGGCGCTGAGCGGAAGGCCAGGGCGACGCGCGCCCGGCGATCGCTGAAAGAAAACTACGCCGAGCCAAAGGCCCGCTGACGCAGCGCCGCCCTGAAGTCGGCGTCAACAAGCACCAAAAAATGCGCCAGAACGGCTTGGAGGAGGAAGATTAGGAGGAAGAGGAAGAGGAGGAGGAGGAGGAGGAAAATGAGGAGGAGGTTTGCGCCCCCCCCCCCCCCCCCACTAGGCGGCGAGCGAGGGAGGGGGAGCGAGATGGAGAAGGCCTTTTCAGAAGGCGGCGGGAGTTCTGAGAAGCCCACGCGCCTTCTGAAAAGTTCTGCACATTCGGGAAAGGCTCAGGAAACGTCTCAGAAGGCCAGTGAACCTTCGAGCCTTCTGAGAAGGCCTCTTCCTTCTCACTTCCCCCCTCGCTCGGCGCAGATTCATACCTGAGACTGGGCGAGACCTCTAGAGATCCCCGACCGCTTAAGCCCCCTCCAGCCTGCGAGCCGCAGCCCCGGACCCAAGCCGAAAAGGAAACAAACCTCTGATGGCCGCGCCCGGCCGCCTTCGCACGTCTTCGGCGGCAACTGACGGGCGCCCCCCAATGCCATCTTGTCGGCTCCTGCGAATCGACACCAGTCGACACTAAATCGTCGCCGCTCGGCCCGAAATCGACACGAAATCGACGCTTGCAAACGCCGAATCGGCGTCACCTCATCGACCCCCGGGCGCTAACCGATGGCAGTCGACGCTGAAAACGTAATTACGAGGGTGCACAAGTAGAGGCCTCCTAGATGGGGCTGGACAAGATGGGGCCAGAGGATCGCGCCGCATCGCCGATACATCGGCGATGTATCAGCGACGCATCGGCGACGCACCAGCGATGCGTCGTCGGCGTCGGCGATGCAGCGACGACGTCGATGCGAAGCAAATCGAGCCCAACATCGAGCTGCATCGGCGATGCATCGGCGATGCGGCGCGATCCTCCGACCCCATCTACTCCGACCCCATCTAGGAGACCCAGAGAGGGCGCACAATGCTCCCATGATTTGCCACCTAAAACGTTTGGGCATCGCGCGTCTGGGCCGGCGCCCGCCATGTTCGCCCCGCCCGTGCGCCCACCGTTCCCTCCACACCCTCTCGTCGGAGCGCGCGCGCTCCGCGGGGGGACCAATCCGGCGGGCTGCGGGAGGAGCGAACCGCAGCCCCGGCACAAAGAAAGAGGAGCAGCTGCAGAGCGCGGCCCACAGGTGGGGGGGAACGACAGCGGGGGCTGGCCCAGGGGAAAAGAGAAGTCGGGCTGGAGTCGGAGATGCTATCGCCAATAGACTAGCGGTAGGCCCTCAATAGCGAAGCCGCACGTTCCGGGGCGGGGTGGGCTATCTAGCCCCTATCGGCGATGAATGGGCGATTGGAATCTAAACCATCCTCCATGAGCCTGCAACCACCCTAGCGCTGCTCCTGAATGTACTAGCGAGGGCGTGTAAGTCATCATGGGCAATCAAAAATACGAAACCATAGATCCTTGACGACGAGAGGCGTTCCAAATAAACCAAAATATTCGGGGGTGAAAAAACAACAACACCAAAAAAAAAAAAAAAAAAAACCTCGGCGACTGGTCTGCACATGGGTCACCACCCAGGCCACCGAGACCCTCAACCGCACCGCCAGGAAGGAAGGAAGGAAGAAAGGAAGGAGGCGCTGCGGGGGATGTCCCGCGCCCGTGCCTAGGGAGGCGCCGGGCTCGCCAGCCTCGTGGGAAAAGTGGATATTGCCAACACTTGCGGGGGCGCCCGGTCAGTCGGACACATTGAAGGTTCCAGTCTGCCAATATCCTCGACCACCGCCGGTCTTCGCACTGACCTGCTGTGTCCTGCAATCTGTCTATGCGACCCCGTTCCTGCTCCACCCAGCCCGGCATGCCAAACTTCTGGAACTGGCGCTCGGCTCTGCGAGTTGCACGTTGGCGCCGCACCCAAGGTTCGATGTCCACGCGGCCGCCCGCCAGTTCGCAATACCTCCGCGGCGCGTTCACCACCCGACGCATCATTTTATGCCATCCTACTGTCAGCCCGCATTCTCTCTCGACTGTCATAGTCCAGCAGCCGCTGCCATAGAGAAAGGTTGGCGCCACGACGGACTTGAACAAACGCAATATGCACTTCAACGGAAAAAGACCATATGTGAGCTCTGTCCTGCACATGACGAAAGCGGCCCAAGCTCTTGAATTTTCCCAGCGCGAACCTAGGAGTTGGAGCCCCTAGGAAAGCAGCATTAGTAGCAACAGTAAAGCTAAGCTAAAGCTAAGCAAAAGCTAAGCTAAAGATGCAGGTAAGTTGCAGGTAAGCTACAAGCTAAGTTAAGCTAAGGTTAAGCTAAAGTTAAGCTAAAGCTAAGCTAAAGCTAAGCTAAATTTAAACTAAAGCTAAGCTAAAGCTACGCTAAAGCTCAGCTAAAGCTAAGCGAAAGCTAAGCGAAAGCTAAGCTAAAGCTAAACTGAAGCTAAGCTAAAGCTAAGCTAAAGCTAAGCCAAAACTGAGCTACAGCTAAGCTAAAGCTGAGTTAAAGCTAAGCTAGAGCTAAGCTAAAGCTAAGCTAAAGCTAAGCGAAGCTAAGCTAAGCTAAGGTAAGCGAAGCTGCAGCTAAGCGAAGCTAAGGTGAAGCTAAGCTAAGCTAAGCTAAGCTAAGCTAAGCTAAGCTAAGCTAAGATGAGATAAGCAACGCTAAGCTAAGGGGACGCACCTGGGGGAACCGCGGGGCGGGACTGGGGGAACCGCCCGGGGCGTTTTCCACTGCCCGCCCCTTTAAGCAAACCAAGCAAGAACCCTCTAGACAGAGCCTAGGTAGGGAAATACAATGCCCAATCTCCAGGTCGTGGATGTCACTGAACAATGTCAGTCTCCCAAGATACATAGCACCACCATCGTATGGCAATGCCGCCGCCGACTCGAACGCGATGTTGGCGAAGCACACCATTGCGACACTCCACATTGGACATCACCTTGAGTCTTCCCAATGTGCAGTCTTAGGCCAACCGCTTCTCCACGTCTCTGCAGACTCCAGCATGCGCCCGATGCGCGCCCTCGTTGTTTCAAACAGCAATAAGTCGTCAGCAAGCCGAAGATTGGTCAAAAGCTCTTGATTTGCGCGGGCGCCGAGCCGGCGCTGTCGCCTCTGGTATTCCGCCGCACCATAGGGCGCTCCAGGACCGCGTTCAAAAAGGCCGGGCTGAGAGGATCTCCCCGACGAGCTCCACGCCCCAACTTGCATGCGCGGCTTGTACAATCGGCCACCACCTGTGCTGTTCGTCTTGTATACAGGGACATAAGTACCTTGACATATGCTCTGGCACGCGTTGCGCACGCAATGCCTCCCACATGGCACCGTGGGATACAGAATCAAATGTTTCATGGAAACCAACCGCTGCTATCCATAATGGCAAATGACAGTCCCGCATCTTCTCTTGCAATAACACGAAAGTGAGAAGATGGTCGTCGCAACTAAAAGTCTTTCGACAACGAGCTTGACCAACAAACTGCCACGGCTCCAAATACGGACTCTTGCGGTCGTAAAAGATCAGGCTGAACAATGTGTGCAATATCGGCAAGACAGATATGACGGTAGTTCTGCGGAAGTTTAGGGTCGCCCTGTACGCACAAAGCTCTCACTCGCGCATGTTTCCACGAAAACGGTGGCCCCCCTCGACAGTCAGCACCTCAGTTAACAACATCGCAATTGCGCCAATCAGCAACGGGGCCCCGCATTTGAGCATCTCAACTACTACGCCCCCACCGCCCGCAGCCTTGCCCCGCTTCAACTTCCGCAAGCGTTTCCGCGCTTTCTCCGCTGCCACAAGATGCATGTCGGCCGCATGCTGAGCGCCGGGGTCGTCTCTCTCCGGAGCTGACTGTTCTCCTCTGTGGCCCCAGGAATACAGCTCCTCATAAAAAGCAGCAAACACGTCAACAATCTCTCGACGGCCTGTCTGTTCATGCCCGTGTGAATCCACCCCGCTGGCATATGTGCGTGCCTTTTCTTGTTGTGGAGATGCTGGATATGCTTCATTTTCTTGAAATCTTTCAACATACTAGAAATATCATGTTGCTTTCTGTCTCGATTCCACACTTTCAGCTCTTTCTGTTAGTCCTCGCCGATTGTCTTCGCCGACCGGTGCTCTGTCCCAGGCGACGCTTTCCTTGCCCGCTTCCTCTCAGCAATCGGTTGCCGAGCCTCGTCGCTGAGTTGCGCGCGAAGCTCCTTGCCTCTTGGTGTTTTTTGCCCTTGCACGCTTCAGCAGCCCCCGTAATTGCACCCTCGATATATGCGCGAGCATTCTGGTCATCATACAATTCGCGCCCGCCCTTGTCCAGCTGGCAGTCAGCAATCAGTTAGTCCGCCCGGTTCGCAGGTGCACTCTTCGATGTATCGGACCATGCCCACCTGACCTGTTGAGATGGATATTTCTCCGCGTTCAGCCGGACACGAAGCTTCGCGACAACTGTCCTGCGATCCACCCCAACATTGAAATCATTTGTAGCCTCGCCGTCTGTCACC